TTTAGGGGCGAAGCTCCTTATAGCGTCACCCGTTCGTCCCTCGTAGCCGTTGTAGTAGTGTGTAACAAGTATATCATTTCAACCTCCTAGGTGGTGCCGGTGATAGATTTCTTCTGTGCGTTGTCGAACAATAAAAGATAGTGCTCAATGTACATGCTGTTGCGGCTCCCAGCACTGAGGACCCGTTGTTGCGGACCGGGGTCTGCCCGGTCTTTTGTGGTAGCGTGGTGTAGCTTCGGGTTGAGGAAACGAACGCTCACAAGATGGGGATACGAAAAACAAACAGGTTTATGGCACTAATTACACTTATTTACAGCATGGAGAGGTTGAAAGTTCACACAAACCACGAGCGTGGTCGTTGAACCGTTTCATGGTTTAGAGCGACGTCCCGCACTCTGCGGCGTCCTTATAAGCCCTGTCGGGCTCCTCCTTCTTGAGTGGAACACCAATCACACACAAACAACAGGCGAGGGGTACGAGCATGCATGGCCCACTTGAGCATCCAATATTGAGTCGTGATCACTGCACTGAAAAGTGGCGCCAGAGGGGCTCTTCCTCGTCGTGTGTGTGCCGCTGGTCGAGGGGTCCCAAGCTCCGGACAGCAGACATCAAACGGCCCGCCAATCTGTCCGCTCAATTAGCAGGGCACTTTGTGGCGGCGGCCGCCGTTTCTTCCAAGGAAGACGCTGTCTTTGTTGTCATCTCTGGAACGGCTCACGGCGTCATGGCGACACGACGTCTCATCCTCCGGCTAGCAGGGACAATACCTGGTGGGCTTACGCAGCCGGCCAGTCGGCTACTTGTTTGAGGATTAAAAGAGTGCCGCTCCCCCGTCATCTCTGGACGCTGGTTCCGAGAAAACTGGGTTCCAGGCGTGAGAACGCTGCCCGACTCCGCTTCTCAGCGACAGCATGGCGCCTACTGACGGTGGTCACAACAGCTTCCCCCTCGCCAGATGAGTCACGGAGGGCAGCAGTCACCGCTGCTGCTCGCAGAGACGACGAAAGGGTCCGTAGTCGAATCCCAAGAACTGGCCTTCGCTTGTGGCATGGTCTGGGTAAATGCCGATTCTTCGACACCGTTTCTGAAACTGCACCACATGCACCAGCAAGCACTGGGCACCCTTCGAACAAACCCAAGCCAAAAGAGGGATGGGAAACCAATTTTTCATTGCTAGTTTTATTAAAAAGCTCGCACTCAGAACTCTCAGGACTCACTTGCGCTGAGAAACCAAACGTGCTACCTTACATATTTTACATGATAAGTTGCACGAAAAAAACTAAAATATCAATTTTGATACACCAAGAGCACCCCAGAATGGCTTAGAAAGAGCGGCTGAGCGCGTCAACGTTTCCATTCAATTTGCTCTTTACAATGCCAAAACTATATTTTTGAAGGATCAAGCTCCGCCTCACAAGGCGACTGTTCTACGATGTTATGGTTTGCAGCCAAGGGGACAATGGTCTGTATCTACTTTAAATTTAGCACCTCCGAGATAACGCTGCAACTTAGAAATGGCCTACACAAGGTAAGCGCACTCCTTTCCTGAAGCGCAGTACGTTATCTCACGAGAGCCCAATTTCTAGCTCAAGTAAAGAGCATCTTGGCTCATTACCACTGTAGTCCTGACATAGAATGGCTGTCTCCTTCTTTTCGTCGCTGACTACTTTCATCGGTTTTGTCCCACTGAGAGCATCGGTTCGGTTCCGGATTCAGCGAGCGCTAAGATTGTCCTAACGTCCGTTTTTGTTTACGGCCGCCAATAACCGTCTACAACTGAGACATGAAGCTCACCAGCCTCCCGAAAGCTTAACCGAAACTGTGACCTAACGGTCTACCTCAATGGTTCGGAAAAGCCTGATGATCTGCTCATATGATCAATCGATCAATCGTCTCCAAAGAAAACCAACAAAACATAGGAGACAAACACTGCTTTCTAGAAGGTTCATTTGGTTAAAGTTATCTGCCTATGCTAACGCTTCTGAGGAAAAAAAAACACTGAGCTCTCTTGAGCGTTTTCAATGACTCTCAGTTCTACAGCGCTGCAAATTACATGGTACTGTTAACCAGACGCATAATCCCTCACAGTTTGTCTTAATGTTCATTCGAACGTTACGTTGTAACACACCGTGTACAACACAAAAGTAATCCTAGGTGCAATACTCATTAAAGCACCTCCCAACAGTTGCATAGGTTTTATGCTAAAACAGTACACTAGAATGTTCTCAATACTACTAGCGCGTAACGACAACTCTACCATGTCACGCCAAACTTAATCATTTTACGAAATAACTTGGTCTATGTTAACATCTTCCTTCAAATGCTCGTTCAATACAAACCCACTTGACAGTGAAGGCATACGATATAACACTATACCTTAAAAACACTCGAAAAATGACACATTTTCTGTGTTTTTACCGTACGCAAATTTTCGCACTCGTGATTAAACTATTTCGATGTTGACTTTCAGCCTTTAGGCTCGGCGGTTTTCCTTCTGAATATTTTACACCGCATCAAACTTACCAAATTTTAAGTGGATCAAATCTGCATCTCCAATGCAATACTGAGTAGACACCATTAACACGCACGCACCAAAAATACTCAAACTGACCGCCCCCTTTTCTCAATTAGATTTGCTTAAATCGCACACGATGGGGTCGCGTTCCCGGCGGCTTTCGAGCACGCCAGAGGCTACAAAATGCACAAACTCTAAGCAGTGCACTGCCGTCACCCCTCATTTTCCACTTTGGCCTGTTCTCCTCAGGAATTTGAAAGGGACGCGAGGAGCAAGGGTGAAACCTGTGCCATTTTTCTTTTGTGTTCTCCCCTACGCGGTATTTAGCCACTCTGCGCTTTCGATTTTGACCCATCGGGCAAGGCCGCTTTCCCGAAGTCGTCGAATGCAACCGCGTTTTTCGTTGGGGTAACGCACCTCGTTTCCCCGCTCTACACCTGGCTCGCCGCTTGTACCTCTCTGAACGCCACCATTGACGTTTCCTGGAACGGATTAATGGCCTACCCTCTCGTCTTTCTTGCGACTGAGTGGGGCCTGACTTAGGCTTGCGCAGTGACGAACGCCTCCGCTTCTTCCTTTTTCTGGGATGTTTGCAAACCATCTCGGTATTATCGCTGCACTGCTGAAGCGTGGCGTTCTTGCTCTTATCAGCCACTGCGCAAACCATGCCTAAATTTGACAATGGCGAAAGGTCCCCCTGAGGCACGAAGAAGGTTTTCAGCTCATTACTGGGCCAATTAGGGCTGCTGGCACCTTCCTCATTTACGCAAGGAGAGTCTTTCGACATCGTCCCCACCTCCAGACCGGCCACGGCCTCGTTCTCAGCATATTCTACCTTGATGGATTCCAGAATACGCGGGCCCTTCTCTGGCACGATCTCTGTTTCTAGCGCTTTATGACGCGCCTCAACTTCTAGCGCTTTGTGACGCGCCTCACTTTCAGACTCCGGTGCGAGTCTTTCTTTCTTTTTGCTAACAGAAGTTCCGGATCTTCTGATCAGCTCTGCTTTGATAACTTTATAGTTGTTCGCGTGCTGCTCACTGAGTCGCGCAACAACATCCGCTGCCTCGCAGGGCAGAACCGTGCGTAGCTTCTGAGACCAGGTGTCTCGCTTGCACTTCAGTTGACTACACTTTCGTTCAAAGAGTCTAAGATACAGGCCCATATCCCATGATACCTCATATGGCTGCATGTACCTAGACATCTCGAACTCTGCCTCATTTTAGAAAAGTACCCCTCGCTGGGGTCCCAACCTCATACTCAACTCATAGTCTTGTTCGAAAAACTTTATCTTGAGGTCTTCTCTTTCGTCTTCACTCTTTCCTTCCATCTGAGCTGCTCTTAGTTTTTTTTAAATGATGAGGTCCCATTCTTCACTTAGCTCCTCATCATAAGCCCCCAAATCATTAATCGCTTGAATGATTATGGGTTTCCGTGCCAAACCCTTTGTATCGATACCCAATTCCTCACACAACAGCAACAAGTCTGACTTCTGCAGCTCCCGTAAGTCCATGATCGTACTGCTGCTAAAGGGGAATGAGAGACAGGAGAATTCGGCTTTTAGTTAGTGCGCACGCTGCGAATTTTCGTTGTTCCACAACGCACAGAAGACAAGAAATGGTTGCTACGTTATACTCGCTGGGCGTAACTTCCTAGATTTTAGAAAGGTTTAGCGAGCGTTGGGCCACAGTGCCATGAATACAGTGAACTAGTATATACCATGAACTGGAGATGGTTAAAGGTGGGAAGTAGACACGAAGCGCAAGCCGTAAGAGAGTGTGCGTGTGCCTCCTCTCGTGCAGTCCTTGGAATGTCCGCTGGATGGCGGTGCTTCTATATGAGGAATATATGATGAATTAATGCGAGATGGTGGTACTTGGAGTGTTGAATAGGTGGACGAACGTACACACAGACAGATGCATTGACGGACGCAGGAGCGGATGCATGGACGAAAGCAGGGACGGACGCACAGATGAACGTGCGGACGCACGAACAGACGCACGCACGGACGGGCGGATGGACGCACGGGCGGCCACATAGACGCACGCATGGATGGACGGAAGCAAGAACGAATGGACGGACGGATGCTTCGCCCCACTCACTGTCCATCATTCACTCCGTGGATATGGTGCCATTTTTTAGAGTCGCGGTCCATTCGTTACCATGTACCAGCTTCTAACAACCTCGGCCTTCTATCTATAAATGTTTTACAAGAAAATATGTGACCAGTGGACTGGTTGAACTTTGCACATTTATAGGCAGCGTATACTGAGAACGTTACCTACATAGATGGCAAAGGTTTCATGTCATTTTGTTATTATTTGTTGTGCAAGGTCAGAGTAAACAATATGGAGTTAAGACACAAATCGAGAGTGTATGTGGGGGTAGTTTGTGTGTATGCACTGTGCTGCGTTATCTTGCAGATGTGTGAGTCATACGTGCCGCAGCATGCCAAATGAACAATGAAATGCACTACTACACACTGTTTTGAACACAACTTTGACAGATGTATTCAGAAACATAATTTTCAAAAGCGCTGAAAGCCCGCTTATGAAACTTCGTGCATGGCACATGAACAGCTCCACTTGGCTCCTTCTGGTATGTCTGAAAAAGAAGTAGAAAAAAGATTGCAGCCACAGCAATGTTCAGTTTAAACCACAGTGGTGTCTACTACGTACATCACCTCTGTTCACACCACTATTTTATGAATCACAAAAGCAGACGATACTTCTGGACAAGAACTGATCACCTGCAGAACGAGCAGCAGGATGCTACGAAGACCTATTGCTATAGTAGACAAGAACTCAACGTTAAACACACTATATTCTAACTGCAAAAGAATTCATAGACTAGCGTAAGAAATTCTGTTTAATTATGGCCTGGTGTGGCAGTTGCCATTTATGTAACTACTAACACCTTTCAGAGTTATGTGGGGTGAACAAAAGAATTTCGCATTAAATTATGAAATCTTACACAAGACAAAGCATATTGTAGACCACTGAAAAGGCCTATGTGAGGTAGGGAACATATTGTAACGGCACCTTTGGAGCGGGAAACAGGAGCTGTGAGATAAGAGAATGAGGACTTCGTTGTGATTTCCGTGGCCTCAACCCATCACCCATCCAGCACTCTGTCACTGTGCGTGACAGGGCTGAATGGGTACACGCCGCCTTATTCATAACATCATGGTGGAGGTATTAGCCTGATGAAGACAATGAATAATGAATCAACACAAACGGTGAACTATAAATTAGGAAGGTAGGCTTGCGTATATAGTATCTTAAAATTCAATAAACACTACATGACAGTTGTACATATTATTACGGCAGGATCTAACATGAAGATGGGCGCTTGAACGAGTGTCTTGTCGCTAAATTAAGTGTGTTGTTCGGGCCGATGTTTGAATAAGACAATTTGTCTCAGTTATGGCAGCAACCTTGATGCAGTTTGGGGCCTCGGTAAAGAAAAGTTCTTTTGTCGAATAACAAGCTCTAACATTCGTTCAATGATTTGTTTTCATCAAGTATACATCTCAGCACATTCATAAAAAATCTGCAACTTTAACAATTGCTTCTATTGTAGTGATACTGGGTGCAAAACTAAGCTGCAGAGGACAAGGCAATTAGCACGGGAATGGCTGCTCAACAGTTTTATAACACTATGTCCTTGATGCTAAAATGATTGGTTCGACAAGAAGACATCAATTAACCAGAGCAGCAAGCCGTATCAAGGTTACTGCCACGACTTAGACAAACAAATTTCGTTCAAACATTCCAAACAATCTAATTTCAAAAAACTTGATTGGCTCCAAAAACAAACTTTTTTATTTCACCCTCATTCAAGCCCCCCCCCCCCTATCATCATCTTAACTTCTGTCACAATAAGACAACTGTAATGTAGTGTTTGATAGAGCTTTAAAATATGGATAGTAAGCCTTTCTTCTCAATTTAATGCTCAGCCTTTACGTTTATGCTTTAATGACTGTATTGTCAGCCAAAGAACCTATGGTAAGAATGTGTGAAGGTGTCTTCAAGTTTTAGAGTCAGAAGTATTTTTAGCTCCTGATAAATGCGCTTAAAACAATGTAATTTTATTCTACAAGAAAAGATCACTCTTGTAAAATGTATACAAAACACTGCATTTTGCCATTCTCGATTTGACAGATATGTCCAAAATTACAATAGAATTAGGAGAGACGTTGTAATGGAGGGCTCCGAGAGTTTTAACCACCTGTGGTTCTTTAAGGTGCACTAAAATCTAAGGACACGGGCCTACAACCTTTCCGCCTCCATCAGAAATGCAGCTGCCGCATCTGGGACTCAATCCCGTGACCTGTGGGTCAGCAGCCGAGTACCATTTGCCATGTTTCCTCACGACCATCATTCGGAGAAATAGAAACACAAATTATTTCGATACCATAGCCATGAAATTTCGCTCACAAAAAAACAGACTGTGGTAAAAGCTTGAAGCAACAATCATGTGTCAGTTATTTTTTTCCCATATCTGAATTTCTGAGCACTTGGTTTGAAAGGCCTCTGCTGTATTAAAAAGTTTTCACCCAAAAACAGTGTTGGAACGACTTCTTCCCACATTGAGGCATCAAAGCACCAGTTTTGGAAATAATGCAATTGGTCAAGAAACCACTTCACAGACTAACATGAGAGGAGCGTGAACTCGCAAATACTTACAGGTCAATGCACAGTCACACTTTCTGAGGCAGCCCGAGGGCTTATGTGTGTCCGTCTGTACTGCCTTCTGTCTGCCTTTGGTCCGGTTTTTGTAGCATGTCTGCCATGAAAACAAAAAAAACATTAAAACAATTCACTTTTTCCAGCATGCCCTATGTAACACAACTTAAATTTCTCGGCCTCATGAGGTAGCAGTCTCGAAAGCGTACTAAGAGGTGCTGCTTTAGGTATGTATATCTCACCCCGCAGGGGCGCCTGCGCAAGTCGGCGTTTGGTGTGTAGCGACACCACGGACCCGAGCTAACGGGGGAGTTTCTACTCCCTCCCACGCTTAGCCGTGAGTGGCTTTTCCGTGTCCGGGGAAAAGGGGATCGTGGGGGTTAAGCCGACGCTGGGTGATTGGACCGTTGAGGCCCCCCGGCAGAGGCTACACACCCCTTTGGCCCCTGCTTCACGTAGACGGCACCCCTGGCCTGACCCACCCAGGGGAAATCGGCCGTCGCCTTTTCCTATCTCTCTCTACCTACATCTTCGTCTTTATCTCTCACTTTTTATCTGTCCTGTCTTCTACTCTTCCGTTTACTTCCAAACTTCCTGGCGGCTAGAGTTAATTCTGTGCAAATAGCCTACCATGGTCTAGGCGCATTGGGTTATAGTGGCGTTGTACGGCTGGAGTCTGCAGGTTTCAGCATCCGCAAACTTGTAGCGTCCCCTCGTTGGGCTCCATGGTGGGTGGCCGCCAACGCTGCTGAACAAAAATAAGACAGGCATGCATAGAGCACTCCCCCAACTGTCTGATCGTACCGGCTTAAAGCGGGTACGCACAGATGATATAGATTTTTTCAACCAGCCAAAAGAGACGTATCCTCACTTTCATGTTATCCACTGTGAAAAAACGGAAAAGCAAGCCAGGACCGTCTCTCCTTTCCTAGTTGCTAGATGTCTTACCGAAACTCTTGGCACAGGATACAAGGTAACCAAAATGGCTAGCGAAGACCTTCTCCTCGAAATCCGTGACAAAGAACAATTTGAAAAGCTAGACCATCTTTCAGATTTCGGTGGCATACCAATAACCATAACACCACATAGATCAATGAACACAACTCGCGGAGTGGTATCTGACATGGACTTATTTGACCTGACTGAGACGGAACTTTTGGAGGGGTGAAAGAGCCAAAATGTCACTAATATAGAGAGAATTATCATCAGAAGAGACAGTAATGAAACACCAACAAAACACTTAATACTCACGTTTGCATTCAGTAAACTACCAGAATCTATTCAAACAGGGTACACGAAGACATCTATCAGGCCGTACATTCCAAACCCTCGTCGTTGCTTCCAATACCAAAGGTATGACCATGGCTCTAAAACCTGTCGTGGTCGTTAGACTTGTGCACAATGTGGCGTCCTAGGCCACGTGTTTGAGAACTGCAAACAACCGCCACACTGTGTAAACTGTGAAGGAAACCATGCCGCATATTCACGCTCCTGCACATACTGGAAAAAAGGAAAAGAAATAAATACATTGAAGGTGAAGGAGAACATTTCATTTAAGGAAGCACGGCGAAGAGTCGCACCATTCTATGAACCTACATACGCTGATGCGGCGCGTCAGGGGGCACCGCCGCACCAGCCCTCGCCACACCTTCGGCCCGCGCATACCGAGCCTGCGGCTGTGGCACCTGCCCCCAAGGCGGCTGTAGTCCAGGCTACACCACCTACTCCCAAACAGAGACCGAAGACTCCCGAGTCTTCGGGTCTCAAGGCCTCCCCTCACCAGGTGAGGCCCGAAATCCGAACTAACAGCCCGCATGTGTGGGCATCCAGTGCCCCCGAGAAGGCAATGGATACGTCGGTACCCTTGGTGCCGAAAGAGCGGCGTGGCTCCTTGGAGCGCGCCAAGAAAACAAAAAAGCAGACAACAGAGCCTGGTGACGGCTCTGTTAAGTGAACTCAAACTCCCTGTCTAAACAGCCACTCGCTTTTCGTACACACGGCACTATTTTACGTTCACCATGAACACTGAAAATATACAATGGAATGTCAGGGGCCTTCTCAGAAACCTTGACGATATCCAGGAACTTTTACACGAACACTCACCAAAAGTGCTGTGTGCACAAGAAACAGACCTTAATTCAAAACACACAAAATTTCTTCGTAAATACGTTATTTTCCGAAAGGACCGTGATGATGCCATGACATCATCCGGAGGTGTTGCCTTTATAGTGAATCAAGGGATTGCATGCACAAACTTATAACTCCAAACATACCTTGAGGCAGTGGCTGTTCGAGCAATTCTTTTTGATAAACTGATCACAATCTGCACTATTTACATTCCTCCTAGCTATAAGCTGCAAAAACGTGATTTACACTCTTTAATTGATGAACTTGCTTGGAGACTTTAGTGCGCATAGCAGTCTATGGGGTGACTCTCGGTATGACGCGCGAGGTTGACTGATTGAACAGTTCCTTCTCTCGTCTAGCGCGTCTCTCCTAAATCGAAAATAACCAACCTATTATGATCTCGCTAATAACACTTACTCCTCCATAGACCTCAGCATAGTATCTCCATCTCTTGTGCCTCTACTCCAGTGGAAAGTCGTCAGTAATCTGTACGGAAGTGACCACTTCCCCGTAGTTTTCAGCACAACTACAGTAACTGAGTGTGCACCACGTGTTCCCAAGTGGCTCATAAACAGAGCCAACTGGGAACAGTTTTATACCATCGATCGTCTAGGTTAGAATGACATATGTACTTTGAACATTGATGTTGCTGTCAACTACTTCACAGCGTTTTTGATTGATGCTGCAACAAAATGCATCCCACAAACACATGGACAACCTGGAAAACGGCGTGTGCCATGGTGGTACCCTGAATGCCGAAACGCGCGCAAACAGCAAAACAGAGCTTGGAGGCTGCTTCGGAACTCACCGACAGCCAAAAATCTTGACACCTTCAAGAAAATAAAGTCTCAAGGCAGGAGAACGCGTCGGCAGGCCAGAAGAGAAACCTGGCAGAAGTTTTTGTCAGGGATCAAGTCATACACACAGGAGGCTAAAGTCTGGAACATGGTCGGCAGGATAGCAGGAAAATAAGTACACACACTTCCACTCGTAAACACTCAGGGTGATACCTTTGAAAATCAGGCAAACTTCCTCGGTGCACACTTCGAACAGGAGTCCAGATCATCCCACTATACTGACACTTTCCAAAAATACAGAACAAGAATAGAAAAGCAGAAACTCGAACACAAATCCACTAGATACGAGGCATATAACCAAGCTTTCCGTCTAGTTGAGCTGCGAACGTCTCTAAACTCTTGCAGTACTTCTGCCCCAGGTTCTGACCGTGTAGTGTATGAAATGTTAAAAAACCAACCAATCGAAACACGAAAAACCTTACTTTGTTTGTGCAATGCTACCTGGTTTTCTGGCACCTTACTTTGTTTGTGCAATGCTATCTGGTTTTCTGGCACTATCCCTCCCTCCTAGAAAGAGGCTATTATTATTCCCATTTTGAAAGAGGGCAAGGACCCTTCTTTACCTTCGAGTTACAGGCCTATTGCACTTACAAGCTGTTTGTGCAAAGTCTTCGAAAAAAATGATAAACTGCCGATTTGTATATTTCCTTGAAAAAAAACAATTTGCTCGACCCAATTCAGTGCGGGTTTCGAGAAAGTAGATCCACCACAGACTACCTTGTTTGTATCGAGACAAAGATCAGGGACGCCTTCGTCCATAAATAATATTTTCTCTCTGTATTCCTCGATATCGAAAAGGTTTATGATACAACATGGCGTTTTGGAATTCTAAGAAACCTGTCCTACCTTGGCGTGCGCGGAAGAATGTTTCAGATAATCGAACGTTACCTGTCAAACCGGACATTCCGTGTCCGAGTGGGCACGGTTTTCTCCCAAACATTTGGCCAAGAAACAGGCGTGCCACAAGGTGGTTTACTTAGCTGCACACTTTTTCTCATCAAAATGAATTTCTTGCGCTTGTCCCTTCCTCGCAATATGTTTTATTGTACATATGTCGATGACGTCCAGCATGGCTTTAGATCTTGCAATCTGGCAATGTGTGAGCGGCAGGTTCAGTTAGGTTTAAACAAGATCTCGAAATGGGCAGAGGAAAACGGATTCTGACTGAACCCACAAAAAAGTACTTGTGTCTTGTTCTCCCGAAAGAGAGGCATGCACTTAGAACCCGACATTGAACTGAACGGTCAACGTCTGCCTGTTAATGCGGAGCATAAATTCTTAGGATTAATCTTGGACAAGAAGTTGACCTTCGTACCGCACATCAAGTATCTAAAAACAAAATGTTTAAAAGCCATGAATGTTTTAAAAGTGTTGTCACGTACTACGTGGGGTAGTGACAGGCAATGTCTCAAGAACCTGTATAGAAGCCTCATTCGCACCCACTCAGATTACGGGGCCGTTGTTTATCAGTCTGCCACTCAAAGTGCTTTGAAGATGCTGGACCCCGTGCACCATTTGGCCATCCGCCTTTCTACGGGTGCTTTTCGCACCAGCCCCGTAGAAAGCCTTTATGTTGAGTCAAATGAGTGGTCGCTTCATCTGCAGAGAACTTACATGTCCTTTGTTTATTTCCATAAGGTGAAAGCAGACAAGAAGCACTCCTCATACTCTACTATTAATGATTTGTCGAGCTCAATTCTGTTTCAAAACAGGCCTTCGATGAGGCAGCCCTTCTCAGTTCGCCTGAAGAGTCTAGCTGAGGAAACTGGAGTCTCACTTGAACAAAGTTTAATGGCTCCTGTAGCATACCCGCCACCGTGGCAATGGCAGACTATAGACTACGATGTGTCTTTTCTAGAAGTTACAAAACATGCGCCTATTGCCCATATGCGAACATACTTCCCGGAACTTCAACACAAATACGCACGCCCTGAGTTCTTTACAGATGCCTCCAAGTCTAACTCCTCTGTGTCCCACGCTGCTGTCGGCCCATCCTTTTCGGATGCTGGGCCTCTACATTCAGGCACAAGTATCTTCACAGCGGAAGCTTATGCGATACTTGTGGCGGCTAAACACATCAAGCAAATACAAATACAAAAAGCAGGAATTTATACAGACTCCCTCAGTGTGGTAACGGCCCTGCACACTCTTAAAAAACACAAAAACCGAGTCCTTGTCCCACTTTACTCCATTTCGTGCACACTCTACGAACTCAAACAACATGTTGTAGTGTGCTGGGTGCCACGGCACCGTGAGATTGAAGGCAACGTGAGCGTGAATCAGCTCGCTACATCCGTCCACAAAAGCACTGCCCCTACACCCATATCAATCCCGGCCCTTGATCTTAAGCCGTCTCTCAAACGAAACCTCAGGGACTACTGGCAGAGCAAGTGGGATACACACACACAAACCAAACTACACCTTATTAAGCCCGACCTTGGTCATTCGCTGCCCGTATCGAAATCGCGTCATACAGAGGTAATACTAACGAGACTCAGGATAAGACACACATACACGACACACACATATCTTTTGTCCGGTGGCGATCCACCATTGTGTGACAGATGTGGTGAAGCATTAACAGTCCTTCACATGACACAGTGCAAACACTTAGAAACTCTAAGAAAACGACATTTACCATTACCCTACCGACAACATATACCTTTACACCCTGCAATGTTCGTCGGTAG